AGTAGACAAATGAAATAATATGTTATATTTAAGAATGAGATGCTACTTCTCATCTAACACATATTTGAATTCTCATTTAGAATAGTTCATATATCAATATCATATGACCTATGATACCTTCAATTAATTTCAAAACAGAGCTGCAAACTTCTCTTCGTTGTCTTGTTAGATTGTTTTGTATCCAATTTTTCATCTACATAGAATACAGCGCAAACTAATATCTCTAATAGCAGAAGAGCGTGATTGTGAAGTGCAATGAGAAAAAAGGTTGTAATTGGGTTTAGTTCATAATTACAATGGATACATTTTAGAAAGTAAATTTCTATACAAGCAATTTATACTATAAAATTCAACATTCTTTGATCCACAAAATGTTGGCAGGTCCCTATCCTTTTTTTTTGTTTGTTTTGTATTTATGGGTTTAACTTGTATTATTTGTTATAAATAAAATTAATTTTTTATTCTTGCCCAAATGGGCTAATATCTGAAATCATTAGAATGAGAGGTATCAGAAAAAATTTAAATTCTCATTCCCCAATATCGCTTTTATAAATAAAATACTTGAAGAAATAACTTTAGCCCAATGGGCTAAAGTGGTATTTAAGCCCTAAAACCTAAATTGATATGACAAAATTGTATATTTAAACAGTATAGCCGCTCGGCTGTACTTTCTAAATGCATTAAACGTATAGCCGTTCGACTATACTCGTTAAATATTAATATATTCGAATATTTTAGGAGTATAGCCGATCGGCTATACTCTTTAAATACATTCGAAACGAACACGAAGCTTGCACTCGCAGAGGACAGAGCTTGCAGATGCAGTCGCAACCATTTCGCTTCTCCATCAACTCAAGCGGTTTCGGCTGCTTCGTCCTTCCTGTTCGACACCGAAAAAAGACTCAACCCGCCTAGGAGGCCCGCCTAGGGGCCTTGCGCCCGCCTAGCCTCCTAGCCGCCTAGCCGCCCGCCTAGGCTGATTTTTCGAACACTGCGACTGACTGAAAGTCTGAAACCTGAAATTGAAAAGTTGAGCTGCAAATTTGAGCTTGAGATTGAGATTGGGAAGCCGAAGCAAGCACAAGTCAGGTCCATAGAAGAAGAGATCATGAGACTCTTAATTCATCTAATTCCATTCCTCTCCCTGTTTCCCGCCTTATTCTCTTCTCTCTAGGCTCTCTCCCAACCAGGTTTTTGAGGTTGAGGCAATGACCCTTCAATTTTGAAGGGTAGCAAAGATTATTCAAAAGGTGACAAATATTTTAACAAAACCCTCCATTTTACCTATCGTGCTTTGATTCTATGAGCCACATCATCTCCATTCTCCCCTTGTATATATGGATGATTGAGTACACGCTAGATAGTGAAAGTTTTTGCTTTTTGATATACTCTTAGTGGTGCAATTGGTTGCTCTTATGTCTTCGTCAGAACCAAAGGCTCCTCTTGGTTAGCAGAATTCAAAGGAATATGGTTCCAGTGACCATCTAGTAGATGCAACTTTGCCTGCTACTGAAGTCAAATCATCAGAACTGAGTATAAGGAATGGTACAAAAAATCTTCACTATTATTATCAACAGTGTCTTCTGCATCACGATTCTCTTTCTTTGTTTTAATGAAA